CCTCCTCTGACTCCAAGCGGGAAACACACATCGAACGGATTGAACGTGAACGTGGAAAGTGTCGCCGAGGAGGCTGGCACGAAATACGGATCCGGTTCACGCATTCTGCTTGTCTACGAGAAGAATGACGAACAGAAACACCTCGATTCGGATCGGGCTGGGGCGCCGGAAAACAAATCCAGTGAGTTGCATGTTCTTTCATGTCGTTCATAGACCGGGATGCATGTGATTACGGAGTAGGGATTACAATACTCGTTCACCGAGAGACCGAAATACACAAAACTGTCCACTTTGACATTGCCATCGGTTGTCGAGCTCCAAGATGTTTTTTTTTCTTGAGTTGTACTGTAACTTCTAACTGTCAGGTGCACTCAGACGACCCATGTAATTATTGATTCTGCTTTTGTTCTTTTGATGACCCACAGACGGTCAACTCATCTAGGAAGGATATGAAATACTGATTGATAACTTCTCGAGTACAGGGGTGCGATCATGCCCTTCTTGTTCATTAGCTCGGCTGAGCTATTGACTGTATCAGGTATTCTGAACTTATGAAAAATGCAGATATGGGGCTCGAACAAATTGTACACTGTACTAACTTGTACTGCATTGGTGCTTTGCGAGCCCAAAATGGCTCCTACTGTGAATTTCCAAAGATATCGTTTGCTTTGACTTAGACAACTTGGAAGTATTGAGCCCCTAAACAGATTCCGTTGTAGTGATCTGTGTGTGCATAGCCTGTTCCTAGGCCCACTGTGAATACTTGGTTGCCAGTGTTTATAACTGTTTACTTTAATGTCGTTCAATACATATATATATATCATGGTAGCCATCACAGGATTGTGAGTAAACGGTCAAATGTAACAAATTAGGAAAATACACCAAGTTGGCTGCCCATAAAAATTAATCGCACAATACAACCTGAAAGCATTAACTGAGATACATTTTCCTAATCTTCATCACTTTTTCAATTTTAATTTAACTCCTTTATTTATTCAATACCTTAGCTATCTTCATTCGTTACCAATTCATGGTAGGGTTTTCTCAGAGAGCAAACACAACATCGGCCGATGTGCCTAATCGCAGGATTCGATAAGCAATTGAAGATAATTGACCAAAGTGCCCGAAATTGAAACGTTCACGTCCAGATTGTTCCGAAAATGCCAGATTAGCGTCTATAAGGGGTCGGTGTTAGCAATCCCTTCTCATTAAAAGGACCTCTAAATCGGACTTGTTGCATTGGTACTCATTCTTCTTGACCATCTGGTGGATGAAGATGACAGACCAGTTACTTGCTACCCCGGGCAGGGGACCGTAAATGGCTTCGCAATGACAATATTGGTTCACATGTTGACTTTAACATCTTATTCAGCTAATGTCATTTGTGTCACCTGTTTTGGGAACGTCAGTCACGTGCGGCAGCTCACACGTTTCCGCCTCATATTCCATTCAAAGTAACAGCAGTCCCCTTTTGCTTACTAACTTACTTTTAACGAATATCCTTTAATGTAAACACAACATACACCAATATTGACGAAGTATTGAAAATCGGTTCTCGTAACTTGGGTGAACTGAATTCCATTTCGCCTGTTTCGCCGCCTTCGGAAGTTTGTTTGCGAACATTTCATTACATTGTCATCCGATGTCACCTCGGCTGGTAATGAAACGTGTGCAAACGTGTACAAATTGCCAATCTCTGCAAACAGGAGAAATGAAATACAACAATATCATCTTAAGTAATAATGAATGAAGGTAGATCTGACGCACATACTCAGTTGGCCCTCGTCTTTGACCAGAGATGCTCGGTGTACATAACATAACTCTCGCGTAGTTAACTGGAACTTGTTTACCTGAATTATTTATTCAATCGGACATTTTTCAATCTCATTTTAATTCAAACGAAATACTGCTTGGAACTCAGCTTTGCTCTTATTCTATTGCGCGAATTCACGGCTAATCCTTTCCTAATTTCACGCTTAGAATAAGAGATGAAGTTGGTACTGTTTTGCTTCCTCACAATGTTTATTAATTGAGAACCATTTAACAAATCATCTCATTAACTCAATATCGCTTATCATATACTTCCAGCGTTTCTCATGCATTTACACGCATTGACTTTTGCCGGTGTATGCCATTGAGCCCCGAACTCCACAGAGATGCTTACTGTCTGAAATATTGCTAACACGCAGGCGATCCACCAATCTCCGAGCTACTCATTGAGACTGGTCCCCAGACTCCACTAATTCATCGAGCCCAATCTGATCCAGATCAGGTTCTCCCCAATCCAACACATAACGGGCCAACGCTATTCTTTGTCGAGGACTCATCGAATCCACGAACCGCTGACTCAACATTGAGTGGTTCTGCCGACTCGGTTCCGGAATATCCACCGATGGTTGAATTAAAATCCTCCCCACCACCACGTCCGCATTCCCATTTGGGTTGTATACGAGAACTGATGCCGGGTGAAGAAAAGCACTCCGCGGACTCGACCGCAAGTAGAAACGCCACCAACTGTGCACTCACCGTGCCAAGTGCAATCGAATGTCTAGTTAGTCGAACAACAAACGGCCACGGGGACCGGATGTTTGCAAAACGTCTACAAATGAATGATGAGGCACATGCCAGCGGTAAGTTGGTATGTGAGTTACATCTGTACTAGGGATGTTCATGGGCGCCATAATAGTTTTACTACCACCCGCCGCCACTATTATTTTACCTAACAGTATTAAGGGAATAAAGATGAACTTGTTGCTGCCGCTGTTTTGGCTGTTGTTCCGCTTTCCAACTGGGTGAACCTAGGGGGATGTGTTCAACTCACTGATGATTATCTTGAAGCTGAACGCGTTTGGTTGTTGTGCTTTGCTAGTTTTCCGACTACTCAATCGCATCGTCGTTTGTTTTCTCATCGCTTCTTTTCTAATCACCGAATAATTCAAAAATAACGTATGAGAATATAACCATTCTCGGTCTTCGTCCGCATTATCTGGTCACCAGTGATTTCAAATTAGTCAACAATCTAACCTACTAACACATTCGATTTCAGCTAAACAGTCAGACAAACTGTCCTGTGTACATGTGGGTGTTGTTCTCTTTTTGTTTGATCATACTCTCTGCTGATCAGCATCCGGTGCTCTGTGCTTTGTTTCAACTCCGGCGAGGTCAAATTGAGAACTAATTTATTCACACAGCATTTGAATTTTAAGTATTTTCCTCATTAAATATGGTGCGATCATTCAAAAGATTCGGTAGTTTTATTATTACGAAATTATAGTGCTATAAAAACACATGTAGAAACAACAGAAGTCAGCCAAGTGGGCATTTTAGCTCCNTAGCTCCACAGTCATGGCCTCTAATAGAAAGAGGTATCTGGCAAGATAAGGGGTATTAGCGGAAAGACGGTGGGTCGTATGTCTACAGTGTAATAGTTTATGCGGAGTTCTACTCGAAGAATTAAATGTAAAATTGAACCACATTGCCGAGTGGTATCGTTCAGTATATTGGTAGATGATTGTTCCTGCAATATGAAAATTTTTTTCCAGAATTAAATCACATAGTGTGCTAGTACATCATATCGTACATACGTACATATCGTGAAGGTGAGGGTAAAGTGCGATATTTTTATTCTTAAACAGGAAAGTACTACTTGGAACACTACAACAAGTAAGATACACTATTCGAATGAGCAAAATAATAAACAACCAATAATCGAGCTCTTGAAACCGAAGTATATGGATACTGAGGTTGGAAAAAGTAGTGGTATGGGTATGAGTAAAACAGAGAGTGCAGTTGATTTGGCTGAACGATATGAGCCTTTGCAAAGCACGAAAAAGCGATCGGCAAGAATATGCATCTACGGATTCCTGAGGTAAATGCGATTGCAAAATTATGGATTTCATCATAATGCACACGACCAGTGCTATTCCGAAAAGAGCTTGTTTTTTATCGATCAGTATCCGTTGACAGAATTCCATTAAGTTTCAGTGGTGTTTTGGAGGTGAGAGAAAGAGCGAGAGAGCGAGAGAAAGTAAGGAGATTGAGGAATGCGAAATGGGGCAAAATGTCCTTCAAGATGGGTATGGAAAATGATCCTTTAAACTAACAGCACCACAGTGGTTCAATTGACAAGTGCAGGTCTTTTTGTTTAAGTGCTTCTTCGAACCGTTCAAACTGGATCAAAAAATGTGCAGAATTAGATTTAAAAAACCGCGGATTCTCGATTGATACCACTGAACGTGTTTCACATACGATAAACATCCACAGGTAAAAAACCACGCCGTGCTCGAGTGCGCTAACACGGATAGTTTTGGACTGGTATCTCGATCCAACCTGTGCATTGTATTTTCTCGAGGTTGGTAACGAAATGATTGATCATCGATTATGATGATTATCAAGGCTATCGTTGAAGTTTAATTTTACAATAAGATGATCAAACATGTTTTCAGTCTGCCATGGGCATTCACACGTATAACGATATCAGGTTTTTCCTTCCGATAAATGGGTTAGTTTGTCCAACAGTATACTTCTCACCACATGGAATATCTGATTCATAGTTTGATCTTAGTGATAATTGTTGGCCTTGTACGTTTTCAGAACACCCAAGTTGACGGTCCGGTGCAGTGCACTAATTCCCGTAGTCTGCTCACATTGTGCCCGCGTTGTTTCTGTGGAAAACCCGTTGCTGCCGAGATAATTTTAAATTAAACTTTCTCACTTAGGACTCGAATAGTTTATTGGAATAATAGAGGATGAGATTTAGAATGGTTGGTAATTTAACATCATTTTCGTGTCCGTATTGGAACCACTGATGGTAGTAAAAACTGAAACTGCTACGATAAAATTATAGTTTGTTTTGAGTTTGTGACATGCAGAACTTGAACCACTACTCCCACCATTTTGTAATACATGCTAGGAGGTTGATTTTGATCTTCACAGTTGGAGTTCCTGATACAGATTTCGTCGTCATCGATTACCACGAACTAACTCGTTTGGGTTGTGAAACCAACTCTCGTATTACTCAACAATCCCATTTGCTTTCAATAAACAAAATAATTCTTTTTTCATTTATCAAATACACGTTGATACAGTTGATCTTCGGGATGGGGGATGCCGTAAATCAAAGGCTACCTGGGGAAAAGCAGAAATGAGGAAGATGGGTGGTGGTGGCCGGATTTTGAACTCGCAACCTCCGATCTGACCCGTTTGACCACCGTGCTGCAGTTAGGAGACATCTGGAGCAGCAGGTTTTCCGCCTGGGAGGATGGATATAAAGTACGTCGACTACGGCCGGTCGTTAAGAGCTTTCAGTAACTCGCAAACGACCATGTTAAAACAGATTTGTGGTTGTGGCAGACGTGTATTGGAGTACCTTGGCGGAGGAAATGTCCCGTTACACCCCAACGAATATTTGTGTTAGAGCATGAAGACAACAACGACCAGCGAGTGCAATAAGATACAAAGGGATCAAAAACGAAAGGTTAAAGTTGTCGCACGGAAGGATACAGTATATAGCAACCATGTAAAATATGTCACATTACTTTTGTACCGAGATAAAAATGTGAACATACAGTCAGTCTGTAGAGAAAAAGTGATCTCTGGCAAATATTCCATATTGTTCGCATTTTCCTATACAATAATTCAGACTACAGATCTCCAAACCACCTGCTGGAAAAGAACACATGATCAATCATTAAACAGAAAGTCCAATGAGACACATGACTCACGCGTGATGCAAAATAGCGCCAGGCTTTAAACGTGTCTGACGTTTCAGTATAACTCTGTTGCTTGAAGAGAAATCTCGCTACACATGGAACAATATAACTCCTGTAGGTCTCAGTGGGTGCCTTTATATGTTTATAACGGGCTCTGGTGGATTATGAAAAAGAAAAGCATTGACTTATGTCGGGGTATTAAGAGGTGAAAACAGTCGGATAAAATCTTCTGGGCTAATGCTTTACAAACTGAAGTGCCGCGCAACAACATACTGCCGCAGGTGTTCCCGCGGGATATGACCGTATATCGAGAAAAACGTGAGGGATCGGGAAATTGGTTTTCCGTCCTTGATAGGTGATCGGGGAAGATTAAAGAGGGTCCATAAAGACAATGGGGCAAAAAGCAAACACAAACAAAGTATCTTCTGAGATAAATACGGATACAAAGTGATTTAGAACAATATGAAATAGACCTTCCAACTTTCAGGAAGACGATAAGGACGTGATCAGACTAGGTGAGATTGTCGTTAAAAAGAAAACCAAGGTATTTGATAGATAATGGTCTGTCCATCTGATCATTTAAGGTAAACAAAATGAGGGCCTATATTTGACAACTTTCAAAAGGGAGAAAATGGAATCATATCATTTTTGGACGTTCATTCGGAATTTTCTTTATTGCGACCACTGCACACCTTACTTTTAAAACAGCTTGTAGATTAGCCAGATGATGGTTTGATGTAGTGTAAACCAAATTTACTTGCTTTGAAGAGAAGAATTACTCACAGACACTCAAGAAATCTAAATGAAAAGTAAAAGTGCAGATAAAATAGCGTCTTGTCGTGCTCTATGTAAAGAGGGCAGTAACGAAGACATTCGGTCTTTTTGGCGTTTGAACTGATGATGATTTGAGGAGCCATCGATCAGTAATCCAATCGTAGGAGGAAAGGGTAAATTCAAACTGGTATTGGTTTTCAGCATTACACAGCGGGAAAAGGGTTTTCGACAACAGGCTTTTGAACATCTTCAAAACAACTGAGTTGCAGGCAGTGGTAGGAAACTTCGATTGAGCTCTTCTTTAATACTGAGGTGATTCCGTTTGCTCTGCACCATTTGAGAATACTT